GTCAAAGTTTGACACTTCTCTGGCCATTATCTCCGTAACCGTTCAACTTTGGACATAGGTGTTTTGGGTTATATCGGCATACTTTAACATAAGGAACACCCTCCCGAAGTTTGGTCCATTCCTCCTGGGACACCCTGTATATCGCATTGCAGAGTCATAAATTCTTCCCCATATTTCATTAAACATTCGCAATATTAAAAATTTAAATAGAAGTAGTAGATTGTAATGAGACATATACTCATGTCGCATGAGTTTTTTTGTACAATGACACATTTTGAGAAAGTCAGAGTTCAAATTCAGCTATATTATATATTATATACATATATATATAGTGAGATTCCTGGTATCTGTAAAAATACATGTCAGTAATTGTTAACATTATATGGGAATGAGTTCACATTTTTACATAAAAGAAATCATAGCTATCTAAGGTAGAAGGTGCAGTTTTGAATGAGAGGCAATGCCTGTTCATCTGAGTATGTTTGTGTAGTGGTTACATTCTAGGTCTTATTTAGGAAGAATGTAGTTTGAATTTTGATTGGATTATCATTGTTCTTCCCCCTCCCCCAATCTCCCCATATCACTGCTGTTATAGTAGCATAAACTAGACCAAGATCGCCTTCCAAATTCTGGTCATCATTTATGAACATCTTTACTTCTTATTTAGTGTTATATAACCTCTGCAATTGAAAAAAAGAGTTGTGAACTGATCTTACATTACATGTCTATGACATTATATTATGAAGTGCAATGTTTCTTATTTTTTGTTTGTTTTGTGTATCAGCTGTAGAATTAAGGGAGAGAATTTTGGTATGGAAACGTGAGAAGAAAAAAGCAGCATCTTCACTGTGAAGAGTCACCTTTGCCCACATACATGGGTCCAGGTGCAAGTGTGGTGTGAACGTGATGGTCATGCAATGATCTCTGCTGTAACTCAATATGTGGGCGGGTGGGCGGGCAGACAGGCAGCCTGTCTCATATTGTGTGAAGTCCTTCTGTACTGTGTACCTTGGGTATGCAACAGTTTCTTGCTCGCCTCTAAGCCACAAGACTACAGTGGCAGATAATTCGAACATATTTAGTAATAATGGAAAAACTCACTTTACTGCCAATGTATGGACTCAGTTTAATGAGCTATGCCACAAAGAAGATTCGACAAACACCACATAAAGGTATGCAATTGATTATTGTATATGTGTGTGTATGTGTGTATATGAATGTGTGTGTGGTACAACTGTCGATCCCATAAGGCTGTTTTAAGGATTATTCAGCTTTTCAAATTTGGCTTATGTCATTCATAAACTTGTCATAATAAATCTGGTCAAGTGCTGTTCTGGTTGGTTATAAGATCTGGCTAGAATGCAGCTCTGCCTACTAAATACATAATGCATTGCTTTAATAGAAGACTGCAATGGATTTTAAAATGTATATATGTGAATTAAGGCCATATGACACTGGGCAAATCCGTTTGTTGAATATGTTTCACAAAATGCATTTCTCATTGGTTTCATGAATCCCATATCTATTTTTATTTGGATAATTTTATTTCCAAAACCAGTGAGGAATAGTTGATAATATAGTGTAACATATTCAGGTTTTGTGTGATGAATACTAATGGGTTCTGGATTTGCTGATTGGGTTTATTGGCACTTTACAGTTACAGTTGATTGTAACAGCTCACACACTGAACTCCTTCTGAATTCTCTTACAAATGAAATCTCAGAAGAATCTCTCACTGTTCTCAGTTACTCCTTGAATTCATGAGTTCACTCCCTTTTATAACTTCCATGCAGTCACCAGTAGAAATCACCACATACAAGGGTTCCATTACTGTTCTTCATGAATATGTTGTCTTGGATACCACGTCTTAATTCCCAAACAATGGTTTGGTTTTCTAAGTGTTATCCGTTGCTACAAAACATCTTGTGTTTAGCAACTTCCTACCTGGCAACGACTTGTTTGCTATTATTCATCGTAATGGGAACATTATTTCCGATCCGTCGCTTAGCATTGGACTTCTGCTCCAGCTCCACCATTCTGGCTTTCACCTGTCATATCACAATAGTCTGATCCCTTTATAATCATAAACAGTAATGAATGTTCCAGCAAAATAAGAGTGTATCAAGAGAACTGTCTTCTTGAATGTGATGTATATATTCGTTTAGATGTTCACTGATGTTTCAGAGAAATATAACTGCCTCCATCAGGGTTGAAGCAAGAAGGAAACCGGTTACTCATCTTTGTGATTACTTCTTGCCTTTTGCTTACTTAGTACCTCTTTGACCCTAAAAATGGAGACAGTATGTTCCTCTGAAACATCAGCGAACTTCTCTTTCACAATTACACTGTGTTACAACCCCGAAGGCAGCACCCTTTATTGTCTCTTCTATGGGAGCCCCAAATCCAGAAGTTTGTCAAGTTACTGAAGTTCAACAGAAGGGAAAACAAAGAATCCATATGAAAATTAGCCGCAGATTTTGAGAAGACTTATTCTTGTGTAGTCATTTTTGTGATTTGAGACTCACTCACAGAGCTGAGCTCTGCATGAGAAGCTTCCAATTGTGCAGCTACTCAAGAACTTCCCAGCATCTTATGGAACCTGAAGGTTCATTACTGTGTTCACAAGAGCCCTCCACTGGTCCCTATCCCAACCCAGATAAATACAATCCTATCCCATCCTATCTCTCTAAGATCCATTTAAATATTGTCTGCCCACCCACATCTTTGTCTCCCCAGTGGTCTCTTTCCTTCTGGCTTTCCCACCAATATCCTATATTCCTTCTTCTTCTTCTTCTTCTTCTTCTTCTCCCCCCCCCCACTTGTGCTACATGTCCTGCCCATCTCATATTCCTTGACTTGATCATTCAAATTATATTCAGAGAAGAGTGCAAGTTATGAAGCTCCTCTTTATGCAGTTTTTCCCCAACATCCTGTGTCACTTCATCTCTCTTTGGTCCAAATATTCTCAACACCCTGTTCTCAAACACCCTCAGTCTATGTTCCTCCCTTCATGTCAGAGACCAGTTTTTACACCCATACAAAACCACAGGAAAAATTATAGTTCTGTATATTCTAATTTTTATGCTTTTAGGTAGCAGACGAGAAAACAAAAGGTTCTGGACTGAATGGTAGCAAGCATTACCTGAGTTCAGTCTCCTCTTAATTTCCTCCTGAATCAGGTTTTGATTTGTTATAGTCATTCCCAAATATGTGAACTGTGCCACATTTTCAAAACATCTGTTACCAATATTTATGTCGAGATTTTTCCCTGCATTTTGGTGATGAGACAGCAACATATACTTAGTTCTCTCTGTGTCTACTTATAGAACAACCTCTTTACTAGCATCAGTTATAGTTTGTATGTTTCTCTTTATGGTATCTACATTATCACCCAGTAGATTCACTCCCATTTTTTTCTCCAGTATCTGGCGAAAGCAAATGATCCGATCTGTAGTTGGTCTGTTACATCAAAACCAACACTGATGATCCCCAATAATATCATCTATGTATGGACTTAACCTGAGAGGAATATTGGATAAAATTTTGTATCACATTGATAGCAGTGATATCCCCCGATAATTACTACAGTCAGTTTTATCACCCTTGTTGTGAACTGGAAAAAATAATAGATTCCTTCCACAGATCAGGCAATTTTTCCTTATTCCAAATAGAATTAATTAGCTTATGGATCTTAGAACATAATATTTCACCTCCTGCTTGAATAAGTTCTGTTGGAATTTGTTCACTACGTGGTGATTTATACCTTTTCAATTTTGCAATAGCACTTTCAACCTCAAAAGGGTTAGGATCAGGTTCTAACGGCTCAGCTGTATGTATTTCTATCTGCCTAACATCACTGACCCTATGTACATTCAATAACTTTGAGAAGTAGTTCTTCCACCTATTCAAAATGTTGTGGGAATCTGCAAGCAGATTACCATTCTCATCCTTCACTATGTTACTTCTAAGCTGGTAACCTCTCATTAAGTCATTTATTCCTTGATTTAAAACATAAATAAATATTTTGTACTCAAGAAAGCTGTAGTCTTGCAGTTTCTGAATGTATATAGACAGTACGTGTTCACTTATTCCTATGAGAACTGAAACACTTTCTACAGTTGTCTTACCAGTAATTATTTCAGTGTTGGTGATGTCACTTTACTCTTCACTGAATATATTGCTTCTTCATTTAACATAATTTATTTCATTATGAATTAAGTATTTATATACATTTAAGAAATACCACAAGCTACATTGTAATTTGTTTAAATATCTATAATGAACAGTATTAACTTTATATACACACTTTATCGTCTTGGACAACTGCTACAAGTCATGCATACAAAACTGTACTAACTGTTGACCATAATTGCCATATGTAATCATCTAGAAACAAGCATTTATGTTTAAAAGTGAATGGTTGCTTGTACTGATGTGACCATATTAATTGATGAGATTTGGAAAACAGTTGAGAACAAGGCTGGAAGAATGGAATGGCTTTTGCAATCAGAGATGTGAACCAAAAATTACGTTAAGGGAGCTGAAAAGGCTAATACTCACTTAGAAAGAAATAAATGGGGTTACTTGTTCATTTTTATAGTATGTGTTATAGCATTTTTGTTGTCCTTGAAGTTAACATATATACTTTTTGTGTGAATACTGAATTTCAGTTGCAGGAGAGAAGCAGTTGATTTCAATGAATCAAATTCAATTTCCCATCTGTCAATATATTGTTTATATCGTTTTATTGCTATTTGGTGTCTTCTGCATTAATCAGTACATTGAACTTAGGCATTTCTTTTGATTCTCAGAATTGTTGGGTTTTTGTACTTGTCAATTGTCCAGTATTCAAATAAACACCACCTTTTGGAAACTGGACCTTTTTCCATCCTCATGTGAGGGAAGGGGAGACACCTACTTTGTTGGGTCAGTTAGAAAGAGCAAACGTCAGTCACTGGATCTGCTGAGGTTATTATTGGATGCAATGTCTGTGTCCAACTGCTGATATCTAGGTGAATGTTGCCTTAACCATAGTCAGGTAACATAATTTCCCTGACAGCTGGAATAAGGAATATTGGTGTTTTAATATATTTGAAATATTTTAAATCAACTGGATCAGTTTGTTCTTTCTGTAGAATATTTCATTCTTCTAAGAAATTATGTGGGTTAAATTATTTGAACAGACGAATTTGCCCAGTATGACCTAGGTTTTCTGTGTGTGTGTGTGTCATCTTACTGAACACACCATAAAGAAAGTGCATAACAATTGGAATCATGCTGCACATTTGTATATTGTTATAGAAGTAAAAGTGTGGACCTCCATGAGTAGTGTAGTCAGTCACTCAGATCCTTCAAAGGTGGCAATATTCTTTGTTCATAGTGCTTTCTTTAAATTTATATAACACAGCTGTGTTAATTATGTTGACTGTTCATTCTTTGCTTTCTTTACAATACAAGAAACTGAAATAATGAACTTAAAACAGTTTTTGAACATAAAACATTTTGTACTTGTTGTGTATCAAAAGAAAGATTACTATGATATATTAAAAAATATATTATGTAATTGATCAACATTTATTTAAATTGATCCATGGTTTTTGAAGTTTTATGGAAAAAAAAACGTTAAAACAGTGTGCCCGGGTTTGTTATTGTTGGTAAGATATTAAGGTAGCATAATAAGAACATTTCATTTTCATCAGTCATATTACAAAACTTTGTCATATGTTGGACATATAGACATGTAGTTTTGAGTACATCTATCTTAATAATTGGTACATCATATGATCATTGAGTTTACACATCATTTCTATTGACCGGTAAATTTTAAAATAAAAGACTGTCACATGACAGATCAGGGAGTAGGTATTATAAGAATAATTATTTTACTACTTAATGGATGAGCATATATTTAGTAAATTCCAAATTATTTAATTTTCAAGATGTG